GTCTCAGTCCCGAACAATTTTTTCTGACTGCCAAGAATCAAATAATCAAATGGCTACTAAAAATGTTTTTGAGCCTCTAGGTTCTTCCGTCTATAGCAATAACAACTACACCTCAGTTCCAGACAATTTAGGTTCGTCAGTCTACCTTAGACAAAAAGATTTGTTACAAAAATTTTGGGAAGAAAATAGAGCAAATGGTACAAATCCAACAACTTCCACACAAATCCCACATCAAAATACTTCTTTACATTCAGGAAATTATGTTTGTCCAAGTAAAAAAAAGTTATATAGAGGAGTGAGACAAAGGCAATGGGGAAAATGGGTGGCTGAAATAAGACTACCTCAGAATAGAATGAGAGTTTGGCTTGGAACTTATGAAACTGCTGAGGCTGCAGCTTATGCTTATGATAGAGCTGCATATAAACTTCGAGGCGAATATGCACGATTAAATTTTCCAAATATTCGCGATGATACGAGCATGTTAGGGTTTGGAGATAGTACAAAGATGAATGCTGTGAAGAATTCTGTGGATGCTAAAATTCAAGCTATTTGCCAGAAGGTTAAAAGAGAGAGAGCTAAAAAGGGTGTCAAGAAAATAGTTGAAAGTGATAAAAAAGTTGAAAAAAATGTGGATTTGGAGTCATCTTCTTGTTCTTCTTCAATTGTTTGTAATGAGAGTTGGAGTAATAGTGATGTGATTTCTCAAAGTACTTCTGAAGATGGATTGTGGAAAAGTGAGAATTCGCCTTGTTCTGTTCTTGATGACCCTCACGTGGGGCCCAAGAACGACGATCCCAACTGTTATATCACTAGTATCACACATCAGTTCGAAAGGCCAATGATGGAATTGGAGTTTGAAGATTGTTCTCTTGCAAGAATGCCTTCTTTTGATCCCGAGTTGATATGGTCGATTTTGGCTAATTAGAAGTTATATCGACTTACTCTTCACGTGACTTGAACCTTCAACTTATTCAGAATCTTGTCTTGAGATCTAGGGAGACCATTTTATGTTGTTGACAATGTAAATGGTTAATTTTGAAGAATGTGTAGTTATTTAGTTATGATTTCTTTTGTCAAGTTGAGCACTATTAGTCTCTCTTGGCCTGACTTTTGTTTCTCTATGGGATGAACAAAGAATATTATAAGCTGTTCATTACCAGTTTTACGTATCAGTATTATTGGGAATTTTGCTTAATTCTAATAAAGTTTGCATCTTTTAAATCATAATGTATGTTACCCTATTTTTAGCTTGGAAAGGAATGATCTTTTATGAATGAAAGTTTAAATTCCTTTTCATCATTCATCATTATGCTTTTAGTCTCAAATTAGTTGAGATTGGCTATACACATCATTTGTATCTATTTTATTCGATTCGAATCACATGTCTCAACAAATCCAATATAGATTTATCTTATCTCCACTGGCGATGCAATATAATTGTTACGCCATAAGCGCAATTTAATCTATAAAAAGATATTTGTCTTATTATTCAGATTACTAATTTCACTTCTTACATGTGATATTAGATGAAAATTATTTTACGGAAGGACGAATTTTTTTTTTTTTTTGAAAGTAAGTGTGAAGAAGAACAACGCCACATCTTTCGAATGTGGGATTGAGCCTTTATTTCCATGATTTTTACCCATTTTATTGACGTTAAGCCGCAATTATAAATATATTTTGTTCTTCCTTTTCTTTTGTTAACGTGTATATCTTTGACTACTAGTCTAAGAAATCCAAAGAAAAAAGAAGAAGAAGAGATGGTCCCAAGTCTTGTTGTGAATTAATGTGATCCACTAAGTGCAAAATAGGTGATGGTGATGCCACAGTATNATATATATATATATATATATATATATATATATATATATATATATATATATATATATATATATATATATACAAGTTTGTGATCAAAGACGAATATAGGATTCGAAGTTTATGGGTTCCTGGAGCAACCTCAAGTAAATATACAATAAGTAATTGGGAAATTACCAGCTATGTCCATTTATAAGTTGCTCATTACAAAAATTGGTCAATTGATAAAATATTACTAATATTAGCCAAATTAGCCAATTAGCTATTTGTAGCAAAAAAATATCAAATTTTTGCTTTGTTTTGAGTGGGTATTATTAGAATAGATTAGGCACAACTTAAGGAGCTTGAATCTCAGTTTTGGGATGATTTGGTGAAGTTTTGAGGCGGTTTGAATTGAAAATTCGAAGTAAAAGCCGAACATGAAAAAAAATGATATGTGTATCATATATGTATCATATTTGTATCAATTGTGTATCACATGTATATCCATGTATACATGTGTGTGTGATACATGCGTGATACATGTTTGATACATGTGTCGCAGAAGACTTTTTTTGAACTCGATTTAATTACGAATTTTGATACAAAACCAGTCCAAATCACCTCCAATCTTCCTCAAATTTTGTATATTGACTTATCTATATATTTTCAATGAATTTCAACTATACCCATTGAAAAAGTTCCTTTTTTGTTTAGATTTTTGGAATATTGTATAGATTTTGTATTTCATCACCTTATTTGCTACCCCGTCCATGAAATTTCCTTTCCGTCTTGTATCTAATGTTGCTAATCACGCTTAAAAATATGGAAGGTGATCTTTGCATGTGATTCTTTGAGAGAAAGAACTCTATTATTTGGTTTTTCAATTTTTGTTGGCTAGTTTTGGTAAGTCTATGACTAATGGCTAGAGGTTGGTAAGTTGAGATTTATTTGGGACATTTGTGTAAGTTACCCTAAGTAATTGTGTTCACAATCAGATATTTATGGACATTTGATGGAAGATTTAATACTTACACGAAGTATGTGCAAAAACTACTGGATTCACGGGAACCTACGCAAGCTGGATTCAAGACTACAATTTTTACCGGAGTTGAGCAATTAACAATTGGGTGCAAAATTACCTTTACTTCACTAAAAACTTGGTGAAATGAAAAAAGATTAGAGTAAGTAATTGAAGGTAAACTCGTATATATACTCATAACTCATAACGCATTATTTTCAGTAGCTATAAAATCTCCTCTTTCAAGAACAAGTTTTGACATAAATGCAGTTTTCTCTCATACATCTTTCAAGACTGCTAGAAAGAGGAGTTAATGGATTGGACAGTCAATTATCTAACCTTTTCTGGGCCGGTCTGTTGGACCTTGTAATGGACTTTATCCTAGCTATAAACTGGACAATCCATGGGCTGTTTGCTAAATCTAGAATACTATCATTTGGGTTATGTGTTGAGAACTCGGGTGATTTTTAAAAATAGCCAGATTTACAACTGGTCGTTCAAAAATAGCCCAATTTTAAAAGTATCGAAATTTAGCCACTTTCTATGTAAAGAAAAATCTGAGCGAAAACACTGTTCAAGCTAGAACTCCAGCATAATATACTGGAGTTCCAGCAAGTATAATGGTCCAGTATAATATACTGGAGTTTGGAGCACCAGTGCTCCAGTCTCCAGTGTATTATACTGGAGCCAGCAAAGTAATATGCTGGAGTTCATACACAAGTGCACCGAACTCCAGTATATTATGCTGGACCGGTCTCTATTGTAGCAAAACGGTGGCTATTTTTTATTGACTTGGTAAACGCTGGCTATTTTTGATTGACCAGTCCGAAAACTGGCTATACCGTAAAATTTTGGCCGAGAACTCAGTATCTTGAACTTCCTATACATCTTTGACAATGGACTTCTCGTCTTCCTGAGCTAAGGGTCTTTCGGAAATAGCCTCTCTACTCTTCCGAAGTAGGGGCAAGGTCTGCGTACACACTACCTTCCCCAGACCCTACTTGTAAAATTTCACCGGATTGTTGTTATTTGACAATGGATGTAATAAGCCGTTATACAACATTGTATACCTTTGTTTAGTAGTGAATTGAAGTGCCAAAAAGATTTCAGAGTGGAGGGATGAATATGCCATTGCTTATGGTGGCCCTAGCCATGACATAACCATCCGATTCAGGATTCAATGAATTCGTCAACCTTCTAGTGGTTTTGTTTGCACAGCTCATATTGAACTAAGGAGCGAAAACAAGTAAGCAAATCTAATCCTTTTAAAGAGAACCTAAATCCAGGGGCGGAGGTAGTGTAGCAGCTATGGGTTTGGACGAACTCAATGGCTTTTGCTTAAACTCTGTATTTGTATTGAAAAACTTATTAAATATTTAAAAATATTTAATTGCGAACTCACTAACTAAAACGAGCTAGGGTTCGGTGACAAGATCAGAACCCACAACTTTAAAATTCTGACTTCGCCTCTGCCTAAATCCCCTCATTATGATAATTGAAAAATTTCCGAAAGCCAATTGTGCAAGGTGCCAAATTCGGTGGATATGGAGCTGCCCGCCCCTATACCCTTCTCAACTTACACATCAGGCTTTTATATGTGACATGGTTCGCTTTTATATGTAACATGATTCGAACATATGACGTGCGCCTAATCCGCACATTATAAATTGCGCTCTTTACCATTAGACCAAAACCTTGGGGGCAGAACTAACACTGTATTATGTAGCAGGAGGATAACTAGTAAAGAGACAACAACCAATAGCTAGTTAAGAGACAACAACGATTATTCTATTTGAATGCCAACTCAAGCTTATGATTACCTTTGTTACAACAAAATTAGGAATTTTATTCTAGTATGCTAAACAAAATTCTTGCATTAGGATAAGCTGTCTATATTACACCTAAGTTGTCTATATTACACCCCTAGGGGTACAATACTTCGCCAGACCTTAAATGAAGGAAATTTTTTATTTTGTATCTCATACAACTAAGACTAGTTGTATGAGACATCTTTTTTGTCTCACAGTTTTGTGGACCCAGAAGTGTAAGATTGGGGTCCACAAATTTGTGAAACAAAAAGGAACCTCACACAACTGACATTCGGTTGTGTGAGGCACACAACAAAACTTCTTTGTGCAAGATCCTATATGAATGCAGGATACTTTGCGCACTGAGCCGTCAATCAATTGACAACATATTCCAAAACGTATTCATATAATAATAGTAATAATTAGAACATTTCCTACTACATCTCACATGGATGCAGAGTTATTTACAAACAAAGGAGCAAAATCATCCAAAACAAAACAAAAACACAAGGAAAAACATAATATAACTCCTAAAAGCATTCAATTATACAGCAGAAAAGCAAAGTTAAAATTATAAAGATGCTTCAATCAAAGTAGTGATGCAAAAAACTTGCGAATACTTCTCATGAATCCACCTTTCTTATTTCCCCTCTTATGCCACTTAGCTTTTTCTTCTTCTTCTTCTTCAGCAGCATCGCGATAATGAAAACGCTTCCTTAATTTCATTCTATCAAAGTGCTTTGATCTTTTGTCAGCTTCATTATCATTAAAATCAACAAAGCGATGGACACGGAATTGATTTTGACGTTTCAATTTCATTTTCCCAAACTTCTCGCGATCGTCTTGAAGCTTCGAGATCTTCTCTTTGTGATCATCGACTTCGTCATTGAGATGGTAGTGGGGGAAATTGATCCGATCCGCCGGAATTTCACGCACGCCAACACGGTATACAAACTTATCAAAGTCAATGTTTTTGCGGGAAGAGAGTATCATGTCATTACCATAAGGGATCTGATGCCGTGATACATGATTCCGGTGGTGGAAATAGTGGCGACATAGGCGGAACGGTAGGTTAGATCGGAGCCGGAATCGACGGTTGATTGGACGGAATTTGACTAAGGTCAACGGCATCGGATGGACTGAGTGAGTCTCTTCGTCAACGGAGTTTCTAGGTAGGCTAAGAATAGACGCTGAATCGCCGAATTCCGGTAGAGTATTGGGATGTTCTGGGCGGATGACGTCATTTTCTGAAGGGAGTTTGAGGTGGGTGGCGTCATTTTCCGGTTGAGTTAACGGAGTACGAGCAAGGGTAAGGGTAAATAACAGGAAAAGAACGGCGACGGAGAGTTTTGCCATGGTAAAAAGTTAAAAATTCGCGGAAAAAGAGCGTACTAAGTTATATATAGTGCTCGGGCAGATCGGGCAGGTTTGGCGGTTGGCATGTAGAGAGGACGAATGAATTAAACGGGCAAAGGGCAACTCCTACGTACGTAAGTACTTACGTAATATCAAGGAATCGAGGAAAAAAATATTCATGGAATCGACATTAGAAATTCATTTAATTTAATTTGAATTACAATTTTTAGAAAAATTAATAGTAATTGAAAACGATATTGTAAGGCTTGAGGCTTGAGAAAGACTTTTCTTAAAGAAGTTATTGCCTGTATACAGATTTGGAGAAAATTCAAACAATCTTCTTCAGGATACAACAAGCCATAAATTGATACTTGCAGATTTTCTGAATCTCTTTGTAGGGGAATTCGTGTTTATTTATAGCAAAAGTCAGGCCTTTTCCGAAAAGACACTTTATTTCATTAACAGATGTGTCTGTTTATTTGAATTTTAAATTCAAATAAAACAGATTTCTGTTGTAGAAATAAAAAATAAAATTATTAGCTTAATAACCGGCCCAGCCCAAGCCCCAAGTCCAAGTTAAAGTATTTAAACAAATATTTGCACATACACTTAATAGTGTGTATTCTTAAATAAATATGTAAAATGGACAACAACTTAAAAAGCCCATAAAGGGACTTTAGACCACCGATGTGGGAAAGTCCCACATTCCCCTTACTACATTACAAACTATTTCTTTCAATCCCCTACTAGTTTGTTATATTTCTTATAATATCACGCATACCAAAAAGTATCTTGTTTAGATTTGAACTTTTCATTAGTGCAAACACTTTAAAGTTCTGACGAAGATATTGGTATTTTAAAGATTTGAACCACAACTCCTTGTGCCAAAACCGAAAATAACACACACATAATACCGTTTTAGTAACTCAGGAAACCCAGTACATGCTTTAGCACGTTTACGGCCCTGTACTCATCCTGGTTTCATGAATACTTACAAGATTAACTCTTTAAATTTTGCTTGAAGCGACACCACTTCGATATTCACATAGGTAAAATTAGATACAATGTCCCTGTTACTACAAGCATTTACTAATTTTATTAAGATTTAACTCAACCTCTTCGAGTAAGAGTTTGCACCATAAAGTTTGTTATTTTGCCCCTGTTATTCCAGGCATTTAACAACTTATTGACTCCTCATATAACAGTATGTAGTATATTTGAATTAAGGCTCTTAAAGGAGATCAGTGCTTAAACAACACAAAGCAACTTGTTATTACTTCATTGAACTTATTTTGTTAGAGTGTATACTAACTCAAAGTTAGGTTCCCGTTTCTTGTGTTTAATTCAAGAGTTTTAGCCCCATGCCTTCACAAGTTTGTTGTACTACATCTCTTGTCAATGCTTTGGTAAGTGGATCAGCCAAATTCTTATTCAATCTCACATACACAATAGTTATAGTCCCATTTGTGACTAATTCTCTTATATAAGAATGTCTCAAGCTTATATGTCTTGATTTCCCATTATATATCTTATTATGAGCCACACACATGGTAGTCTCACTATCACAAAATACAAAAATGGCTGGCATGAGTTGTGGTCACAACTTTATATCTAATAACATGTTCCTCAACCATTCTGCTTCTTTCCCAGCAACTGCTAATGCTATGAATTCAGATTCTATAGTAGAATGAGAAATACAAGTTTGTTTCTTGGATGCCCAACTAATGGCACCACCTCCTAAATTAAATATCCATCCTGAAGTGGATTTATTATCATCAACACTAGTAATCCAACTTGCATCAGAATATCCTCTAAAACAGTGGAAAAACCATTATAGCAAATGCCCAAATATTTTGTTTATTTTAAATATCCAAGTACTCTAGTTATTGCTTTTTGTGATGACCCAAAAGGTCATCACTTGTTTTAGAAATAAATTCAGTGTTTCAAGGCCTAAAAACCTTCTTTTTACCTCACCTCGATTTGCGTGCGTGGTCCGCACCTATATCCGGAAAGCCTTCTATGTGAAAATATGAGAAATAGAAATTTCTAGAGTTAAAATTTGATTATGGTTGACTTTAGTCAATATTTTGAGCAAATGGACCCGGATCCGTGTTCCGACGATCCAGGGAGGTCCGTAGGAAAATATGGGACTTGGGCGTATGCCCGACATCAAATTCCGAGGTCCCAAGCTCGAGAAATAAATTTTTAAAGAAAATTATTTTCTTGAAATATATGAGTTTTTGGAAATGAAATGTGTTTGAAATTTGATGGTATCGGGCCCGTATTTTGGTTCCGGAGCCCGTACAGGTCTTTTATGTGATTTAAGTTGAGTTTGTGAAATTTGGTAAGAAACGGACTTGAAATGACGTGAATCGGACCTTATTTGAGAAAATTGAAAAATTTGATGTTCTTAAGCGATTTCATGATTTTGATGCTAAATTCATAGTTGTTGATGTTATTTTGGTGATTTGATTGCACGAGCAGGTCCGCATGATGTTGTTAGGTTAGTGTGCATGTTTCGTTTGGAGCCCCGAGGGCTCGGGTGAGTTTTGGATAGGCCACGGAGTGAAAATTGACTTAGGAGAATTGCTGGTGTGTTGCAGGTTTGTAACAGGCCTCTGATCTCGCATTTGTGAGATCAGGCATCGCAAATGCGGTGAAAATAGGGTTCGCAAATGTGAGGTTTTTGTCGCAAATGCGAAGAACCCCAGGCCAGCTTTATCTCGCAATTGCGAGGTACCCTTCGCAAATGCGAAGTCACCCATTAAAGTCAGAAGTCGCAAATGCAACATATCCTTCGCATTTGCGATGTCAACAGGAACCTTCAGGGTTCGCAAAGAAAATTCTCTTGGGCGATTTTCCAAAGAAAATTTCTTCTCCAAATCGATTGTAAGTTGTTTCTAACTCGTTTTCTTCAATCTTTAACATCTTTTCACATGATTTCAACTCAAAATCAAAGGTTTTCATGGGGGAAAATGGATGTTTTGGGTATAACCTAGGTTTTTTCAAATTTTGGGGATTTGGACCTCCATTTTAGGTCCGATTTCAAAATAAATTATATATTTGAGTTCGTGGGTGAATGGTAATCGGGTTTTGGTTCGAACCTCGGGTTTTAACCATGTGGGCCTGGGGTCGATTTTTGACTTTTTGGGAAAAACTTTAGAAAACTTATTTCCATGCATTAGAATTGATTCATTTAGCATTTATTGATATAATTAAGTAACTTGTGGCTAGATATGAGCGAATTGGTGGTGGAATCAAGAGGTAAAGCGATACTTGAGGCTTGAATTGTGTTCGTGGCATCGAGCTAAGTGTTTGGTCTAACCTTAGCTTGAGGGATTAGGAGTCGAGTCCTGTTTGCTATGTGCTATTTGATGAGTTCAACGTATAGGCATGGTGACGAGTATCTATACATTGGTGTCAAGCATGCCCGTGAGTCTTAAATTGAGATCGTTGTGTTCTTAATAAGTTTTACAAATGCCTAAGTTGTTGATTCTCTGTTTTGGGCAAGAATTTTGATTATGTTCGTGGAAATTGCTTATGGTTGAGTTTTGGTTCTAGTTGAGGTCTCTTTTGTGAAGATAAATATTGAGACAAGTTTGGTTATAGCTGATTTCCTTGCCGGGATGTATTTACTTTTTAATGTCGATTCCCTTGCCGGGATATTGTTGTTTCCATATTGCTCCCTTGTCGGGATTCTTTGTGATTGGTGTTGAATTATTTATATGGATCGGGTTGCACGCCGCAACAATATTATATGGATCGGGTTGCACGCAGCAACAATATTATATGGATCGGGTTGCATGCCGCAACAGTGAAATATTATATGGATCGGGTTGCACGCCGCAATAGTGTTTTATGAGTTGGATCGGGTTGCGCGCCGCAACAATAAAGGATAAAAGTGGATATTGAATTGTTACTGTTTCCTTATTCCTTCTGCTGCTTCTTTATGCTTTTCTCCTGCGTTACTGTTGGTAAATGATAACCCCACAGCATGTCCCCTTCCCATCTTAAACTGCTAGTTTCCTTTATTGCTACTTGCTATATATATATGATTTAACTGCACAGGTTTATTTGGTAGTCTGGTCCTAGCCTCGTCACTACTTCGCCGGGGTTAGGCTAGGCACTTACCAGCACATGGGGTCAGTTGTGCTGATACTACACTCTGCACTTTTTTTTGCAGATCCCAGTGCTCTAGATTACGGACCGCAGTGAGATTGCTGTTTCGCGTTCATCAGGCGACCCGAGGTAGTTCTACAGGCGTCCGCAGGCCTTGTTGTCTCCTTCTATCTTTATTCCTGTTTCCTTCATTTATTTCCAGAGACAGTGTTGTATTATTTCTTTCAGACCTTTATTTGTAGTACTCCTAGACAGTCTGTAAAGTTGTGACACCAGTCTTGGGTAGATTTGTTATGGATTGGCATTAGCAGTATTATTAAAACTTTGCAATTTAGTCTTCCGCCTATTTAAATTCTGTTGTTATTTAATTGTTGGTTCTTAATTGTTATCGGATTAAAAATGAAAACAAGGTAAATAGTTTAATTGGTTGGCTTGCCTAGCTTTCTCGAGTAGGCGCCATCGCGATTCCCGAGGGTCGGAAATTCGGGTCGTGACATTTCCAATGACCATTACTTGGATTACTAGTAAACCTTAAAAGTTTACAAACAGCAAATGCTATATCAGGTCTTGTACAATGCATTGCATACATCATACTACCTATTGCACTTGCATACTCTAATTGAGCTATTGCTCTTCCAGTATTTTCAGTTAACTTGATACTGGAGTCATAAGGAGTATTAAACTCTTTTATGCCTAAATGACTAAACTTAGCAAGGATTTTATCAATGTAATGCGATTTGATAAAGTCATTCTTTTGTTCTCTCTTTTCACCTTTATGCCTAGAATAGTATCTACTTCATTTATGTCTTTCATCTTAAAAACTGAAGTTAGATACTTCTTGGTTTCTGTAATACCAAGCATATTTGTACCAAATATTAGCATGTCGTCAACATATAGACAAATGATAACTCCGAATTCTTTTGTGAACTTGGAGTAAACACATTTGTCAGCATGATTA